CGTCAGGGCCTGCCAGAAAGGACCAGCGCCCGTCAGGTCGACCAGGAAGGACCAGCGCCCATCAGGACCTGCCAGGAAGGACCAGCGCCCGTCAGGACCTGCCAGGAGGAACCAGCGCCCGTCAGGGCCTGCCAGAAAGGACCAGCGCCAGTCAGGGCCTGCCAGAAAGGACCAGCACCCATCAGGTCTGCCAGGAAGAACCAGCTCCCGTCAGGGTCTGCCAGAAAGGACCAGCGCCCGTCAGGGCCTGCCAGAAAGGACCAGCACCCATCAGGTCTGCCAGGAAGAACCAGCGCCCGTCAGGGTCTGGCGGGAGGCCCAGCGGCCATTAGCCACCGATCGATCCGTGTGTGTCAGCGGAGAGCGAGGTCACGCGGCGTCGGCCCGCGGACCGGGCAATAGGAAAGCAGAGGAGCGCCTGTCCGTTATACAGCTCCAGTTCTTGGCACGAGCCAGCTGCGCTGCACTGTAAGAGACAAAACAAATGGGGAAACGTCAAGGCTCAGAAACTGCGCGCTCTGTTCCACATTCTTAAGCCGAGTGCATCACCGGAGTCATGTTTAGAGGTGTCGCACGTCCTCTTCTATATTTGTATAAGTTTTGACGCGACATAGGTACGGGTGGGGCGGTTTTGATCCACTCACAGCGATAACTGAATCATTTGTAAAATCTGTTCTCTAAAGCCAGACAAAATTTTGCACTGAAACGTCAGTTTCTCAGTGGGGACGTCATCATCTTTATGAACGAAAGGTTTCGAACTCGATTTCCCAAGATGTTTGAGCTTTAACATGGCGCCAGGTATGGAATATTTTCCAAATGATTGCAACCACGTTATGAAGATTATAAGACAATTAGCTATGCTTAATACCGATGGCTCCCGTATCAAATTTGTTCTTCTCAAAAATGGGAGTCAACCCCACAGAATGCATGGGGAGTTAAAACCAACTTTTGGGCCTGTTGTTTAGAAATACGACACTTAATGCGCACTCAGTGACCGTTGGAGAAGACCCACCTCTGCGTCTCTGCTAACTACATGTCACGACGGCAGCATACCTGTGCTTCTGCCATTGCTAACGTGAACCGGCGATGTTGGTCCCAAGGATTTTGGCGCAGTCTCTCCTTCAGCCGTAATCAAACATACAAGTGAATATAAGAACGAAGAGCCTCTAGCTCCTGTTTTTTTGGCATCATGAATTAAGAGTTTTTGTGGTGAGTTATCTAGTTTCAATGTATATATTTCAATAGGCAGGCCTGGATAAACAACGGTATGGTGGAAACATGAGTTATATTGACAGCACTCGATCTTACAAGCCTGGCTTATGTCATTAGTAAACGGGGCTGAGCAGGGTTAAGCAAAAGTTACTCGTGACACACTTGAAAACCATGACGCGTAAAGTCAGAAAACGCTCCGAATCTGTACCGAGACTGATGCCCGCTTGCAAATATACTTCCAGAGTCCTGATAGGGATAAGGTAAGGGTCACCGAGGTCTCTCGGCACGGCTGCGCTTCGGGCATCTCTGGCAGTGGGTGTGCGGACATTGTGAGTAGAAGATGTAAGACATCGTAAATATGCCGAGCTCTCACACCCCAACACCCAAAACGCGGTTCCACGCTGAACACCGCACGAGACACGGGCGGCTGGGCCGAAAAGCTACGATCCATACCGAGTGGCAGATTAGAAAATTATGTACCGCACCGCGATCGTCAGACACCACGAACATTGTGCAAAGGTCAGGAGAATCTAAGGAATTCAGGTCCTCACGTTCTGATGGCGGCCGCATTACCAAACAGCACTGCTGAGGGCTGCCGGAAGCACTGGCGGGTAAGCCGAAAGACTTCAGTGGCCCGTGCCGAGTAGCAGGAAATATAAAAATTTGCAAGTGCGCAGCAGTGTTTGCACAGATTCGGAACATTTTCTGGATTCACGTGTCTTTGTTTTCAGGTACAATTTGTTGCTTCACCTTGCTCAACCCTTTTCACCAGTAACCATGTCAACCCAGTTTGATACATCGAGTACCGTGTCAAGATAACCAATGTTTGCACTATAACTCTGTCCGACCGTAACCTGTTGGTGCATTGGAAGCCGATATCTCAGCGTAAGAAGCTTGAGCTCATCGAGCCAACGTATGCCATTCTGCATGGGGAGCACGAGCGAAACTTCTTTCTTTTGATTTTTTTCCTGGCAGGGATGCATGCTAACTTTCACGTGTTTGGGTTCTGAATTCCAAAGGAAATCAAAATCAGAGTGGCCTAACTGGGTCTAACCAAGACTGTACAAACAATGGTCTAACAATGCAAAAAACAAACTGAGACTTGCAGCGAACTGTATACCGGGTCACTACTTTCGATCGCTGCCTTTAGCTGCATGCATCTTTTTCGTCATACAACGAGTCTTCACATTTAACGCACCAGTTACTTGGGTGCAGTGTCTACACAAAGCTCGAAACCTGAAAACGAGTCGCGTGACTTTACGTCAGGCAGATCCATAGATCTCCATAACTTTGTTGGCACCGGTTCCGGTATTTCAGCTGACTCCGTACGGAGCCGGTCCCAGTGTTTCAGCTGGCCCGCATGCCCGAGCCGGTCCCGATGTTTCAGCTGGACTCTGTGTCCGAGCCGGTCGCGGTGATTCAGCTGGTCCCTGTGTCCGAGCCGGTCGCGGTGTTTCAGCATGTTTCGGTGTCTTAACTGGTCCCTGCGTTTCAGCAGGTTCCGGTGTCCCAGCAGGTGCCGGTCTCAGCAGGTGCCGGTGTTTCAGCAGGTCCCAGTATCTCAGCAAGTCGTGGAGGTCCAGCAGGTCCCGATGTTTTGGTAGGTCCCGGTGTTTTAGTACGTCTTGATGCCTCGGCAAGTCCCTGTGTTTCAGCGGGTCCCGTGTTCCAGCAAGTCCAGCGCTGCGGCAAGCCCCAGCGGTACAGCTAATAGCTGTGTTTCAGCAGGCCCTGGCGTTTCAGCATGTCTCGGTGCCTCAGCAAGTCCCGGGGTTCCAGCAGATCCCAGTGGTTCAGCAGGTCCCGGTGTTTCAGCGTGTCTTGGCGTGTCAGCAGGTCCCGGCGTTTCAGCAGGTCCCGGCTTTTCAGCAGGTCCCGGCGTGTCAGCAGGCCTCGGTGACACCGCCGGTCCCCGCCAGCCTTGACAGGCCTTGGCCCCACATCACAGCCGCCGACAGCAGTCGGCGGCCGCTTTTTGCCGCCGCTATTAGCCGGTCGGGACGGGTTTCTAATGGGTAATTAGCGGGCCTGTCGGCAGCAACACGTCCCACCCTCCCCCGCCGCCGCAGATGGCCAGATTGCGCCTCCCCTCCCCCCCCCCCCCATCACGGCAGATGACGTAGACGTGGCCCCTCTGGCTGTGAAGTCGGCGGAGGTGGGCGGGAGCGGTCCGCGTGGAGCAGTAGGTACTGATAGCTACGCTCGGCTCCCTGTTACGTAATCTAACCATGGTTGGGTGGGGTGGTGCAACCGCCACGTCTGCGGAAACCAACCGCGCAGGCTCCGGCGGCGGCCGATCACGAGCGGAGTGCAGCGTGTCATCTCTCGCGGGCAGCCTCCTCCGCCCAACGTCCCGCAGGCAGCCTCCTCCCCTGGCGGTGTGTCTTCTCGCGGGCTCCTCCTCCCCCGCCGGTGTGTCGTTTCGCGGGCTCCTCCTCCACCGCCGGTATGTCGTCTCGCGGGCAGCATCCTCCCCTGGCGGTGTGTCTTCCCGCGGGCTCTTCCTCCCCCGCCGGTGTGTCGTCTCGCGGGCAGCATCCTCCCCTGGCGGTGTGTCGTCTCGGAGGCTCCTCCTCCCCCGCCGGTTGTCGTCTCGCGGGCAGCCTCCTCCCGGGGCCGGTGCATGAGACCTCCGGGCCGCTGCGAGCCCCGAGCGGCTCGGCGGCCTCGGCTCCCGTCACCGAGCCTGCTGCGGACAGTCGGCGGCCGTCGCCGTGCGTCGGCAGTCGCCGCCCGCCAGGCCCATTTGACTTTTATTCGGGCGCGGCGGCACGCGCTGAGCGGCGTCCATTGACGGCGGCCGACGCCTGCTCAAAACGGCGTGAAATCGCGATATTGAGGCGGACCCGGGCAGGGGCGCCGCCTGAATGAGACTCATTGAACCGGCCGTCAGCGGCTGCCCGTGATGGGCCGCGTCACAACAGCCGGCCGCGCCGACACGGCCGCCCCGCCGCGCCTGTCGTCCGACGGCAGGCCGCTTCCAGGCTCGCACGCAGAAAACGCAGAACGCATTTCAGATCAGTGCGGAAAACGTTGTTTTTCTATCGACGATCGCTGCCCGGCGACGCTCTTCCAGAACCGTGGCCGAGCCCGCAGCCTGCCTCCAGTTTCACCCGGCATTTCGGAGAATGACTCCGCTGTGCCGAGCCGAGCCGGCGACGTCGCCGGCGTGGCGTCTCGTCGAGTCCGACGCTGCAGACGACCCCCCCCCTCCCTGCTCGCCCGTCGCCTTTTTCGACGCGCGACGCGTCGCCTGGCGGACAGAGGCCGGGCACAAAGACAGGCAATCACCAGCGCCGGATCGGCCGGCGCCCTGCCAGCCTCCTCATGGCCTCATTTTCTCCGATTCTTGCCGGCAAATCATCCGAGCCATTAGCCCCCCGCTTTATCAAAGTCAACACGGCTCGCCATACTTGATAATGAGAATTTCATCGATCAGGCGCTGTCCATTTCTCATACGGCCGGACGGGGATCTGGTGTTGGCCGGCGGTCTGCGGCGGCGCCGCCCCCTGCCTCCCCCTCGCCGGGCGTCGGCGCGTCGGGCGCGAGCGCAAGTCAGCGATTCACTTCCGCCTCACCGCATGGCCTAATCCCGGCGCCCGGCTGCTCATTCAACAATAAAACACACCGAATTAGCATATAAATGGGCGACGAGTGGTGTCACAAAGGGGAAATTGGCCGGCTCGTCGAGCCAGCGCAATTCTGGCGGGCTGGCGAAAATGGGGCCGGGGACGGTTTTTACGCAGCGGCCGGAACCAGCGGCCCACCGGTCGATAACACGCGGCGTATCTCATCACAGGTATTTATTGGACTTGAAGCGAACGTTATCATATATGCATATATGTTTAAAGAAATATTAACGCTGGAATGGTAGACGATCAACAACACTGGTCGGGGCCTAGCCGGCAGCGCCCGACACGCCAGCCATAGCATGTCCCGGCCAAACGTCCGGCGACAAAGCCTCTGGCGCACGCCTCTTGTCCATGTCCCGCTTAAAACGCGCCACGCGCCACAACATCGCCGATGCGGCCAGCCATGAACGACACATTGCCTCGAAAAACATCGCGGAACTCAAGGGAAGCAGGCGGACCACGCTTCGGCCGGAGCGACGGTCGGCTGCCGCGCTGGCGGGGCTCTGCCGCCCCAGCGGGGCTCTGCCCTGCCAGTGTGGGGGAGGAAGGCGGCCCAGCCCGCGCCGCCACGGCCGCACTCTATTGCTCCGTCAGGGGAGATTCTCCGGCTGAGCCGCCGGCCGGCCCGGGCGCGGGGGCGAGCGCCGCCGCCGGCGCCTCCTTGAGCAGCATGCATCTTTGGTTCACAGCGGCTAAATCATACGGAATAACAGCGAGCATCTCCAGTAACACGGGCCATGTCGGCCGGCCGGCCGGCCCCGCGGCCGCCAACGCATGGGGCGACGGCCTTGCGTCGCTAGCTCTACCACCCCACCGATCGCGCGACTGGTCCATTTGTACAGGTGACTGGATGACTAGCATGTTCAGCTCGAAACCTGTGCCCCACCAGCGAACTAGCGCCACCAGCGGTTGGCACATCAACTTATGCTTGGCCCCGCAACCGCTAGATGTCACTAAAAGGTACCAATCTCCGTCAGCGTGGGTCAGTCGGCCAGCGGCGGCGGGCGCTCGTCCGGCGGCCGCGGCGCCGACGCCGTGATCTGATTGGCCGAGCTGCTGCGCGCATGCGCGGCTGCCGCCGGCCGGGCGATCTGACTGGCCGACTGCGAGCGCTGGTGGCCGGTCAGCGCCAGCTTGGAGTCGTCCGACTGGTTGAGCAGCTCCCGCTCACGGATGGCCAGCTGGTACGCCACCTCGAACGCCTGTCCCAGCGTCAGGATGATCTCGGTCGCCAGGTCCTGGAACGGACCGGCGCACCCTCAGCGGCAGGCTGCTCCGTCCGCTCAGTGGCGCCATCTGCACTCTCACACCGAGCAGGAGGCGCCGAGTCAAGCGTACCTACACGTACACACAAGGGCATCGCGACAGTCCGACAGAACTGTCTACATGCCCCAAGCATGCCATGCCGACGCTTTCACAATGGCCGGTAGGCGGCGCCGGTGCCAGCCGGGCGTCCGCCGAGCCGCCGCCGAGCACCGTCCGTGCGAAGGCCGCGCGCCGCGCCAGGCGGTCCACTCACCATGCTCTGCACCCGGAACACGTGGCAGTAGTGGCAGCGCGAGTCCAGGTCCTTGGTGATGTAGGCGAAGTGGGAGAGGTCGTCCGCGTCCTGGCACGCGCAGTGGATGTTGCGGATCTCGTGCTCGCAGACCGGCTTCTGGAAGGCGACACGGCCCGTCACCGCCGGCAGAGGGAGGCGGAGGCGGAGGCGGAGGCAAAGGGAAGAGGGAGGGGGCACGGACCCCGTCCCGGGTCGGTCAGTCCAGCACAGCATCCGCCGCGCTCCAACACCAGCACCACAGCCGCACACCGACCGCACAGGAAAGCCACCAGACACCTCCCCACTCCCGCTGGTCCACCGCCGCACACCGACCGTAGACCTCTGTTCGCCTCCAGCTCACGGCGCGGACGCGGCAGGGCGGCGCGGGGCCTCACGTCCCAGCCGGCGCCTCCCCCTCTCTCATCCCCCGTGCCGCGGGCCCCGGCCCGCCCCGAGGCCCCAGCGGGGGGCCGCACTCGCCTGCGTCTGGGCGTCCAGAAAGCGCACGCCGGCGTGTGAGATCGAGAGCACGATGCGCGGCACCTTGCGCATCTGCGTGCTGGTCTTCTTCAGCTTCTGGATGCTCTTGCGGGTGGACTCGGTGCCGCGCACCTCCTTCACCAGGGTGGAGCCCAGGTACTCGGCGATGTACCTGGCGGCGGCCGAGTCGGTCAGCTGCGGCCGTGACAAGGCAGCGGCAGGCGGCGGAGGGCGTCCGTGTGAGGCCCAGCGGGGAGCTCGCAGGCGCAACTGCCAGCGCCTCGGTCGGCCGAGAGTGTCACGAAGTCAAAATACAGGTGAAAAGTACTTCCCGCTGTTAGATAAAGTTACGGAGGAGTGAACACATGCTTCAGTTCTTATGTTGTTCGGAAGCATGACGGGCATTCGCTCTTTGCTGGAACCGAGAACATGGCCGCAAAAACTACCGATACGAGATTGAATGACGGGAAGTGGTAACTGCATGACATTGCAGCTCTCACATACTGATACCACCAGCATAACCATCCATGACGGGACACTTCGCCTGGATTGCGCCCTCTCCCCCACTGCGTACAGATGCTAACCGACACATCACCACCCACTGCACCCGGAGGCCGCACTGGGCGGAGGAGCCTGTCAGCTGCGGGGATGGGGAAGCCCCCCCCCCCCCCACTCACTGTATGCTGGAGTTGACCAGGTGGTGCGGCTCGTGGCGCCACTGCGTGGCGATGACGGCCGGCACGCCCACCACCAGCTGGGACGGGTCGCGGATCCGCAGCGCCTCCTGCGCCCGCCGCCGCCGCGCGTCGGCGCCGTCCTCCTGCGGCCGGCCGCCGCCGCCGCCGCCCTCGCTGCCGCTGCTGGAGCCTGCCGGAGCGCCGCGCCGATCAGGGCCGGCTCGGGGAGGTGCGCCAGTCAGGGTCGGCCCAGAGAGGCGCACGGCAGGGCGGCTCCGGCGCCGTGCAGGGCGACACCGCGTCACAAAACGGCCACGCTTGGCGTCAGCCAGCCCTATACAGCACTATACAGATCAAGCAGGGAACACACCACACGACCCAGGAGAGCGCCGCACAACGCAGCCGTCTCCTGTCCCTCCCCCTCCCCTCTGTGAACAGAACGTGGCCTCCCCGCTCCTCCACCCGACAGCGCCGGCCGCGGAGGAGCTGCCCGCCCGCGCCAGGCTCACCCCTCGGATGGTGGCGCCGCGGCTTGGCCGGCGGCGGCGGCGGTGCCGGCGCGGCGCCCGGCTGCCGGCCGTGGCCGTTGGTGCGCTCGGCCGGCGTCGGCGCGGGAGAGACGGACGGCGCGGAGGTCGGTCGCGGCAGTGTGTAGTCCTTGAAGAGCGACTCCTCCTGGTCGCGGTCCCGCTCCTCCGACACCGGCAGCTGCTCCATCTCCGTCCGCAGCAGCGCCAGCGTTGAGTCCTGAGCGGCCGGCCGCGCAATGTCAGGTCAGAGCGCGCGTCACTCGATGCTCGCAGAGACGTCCCATGGCCCCACAACAGGATGTTGCATGATACATGTAGTTCGAGATCCTGGACGACTCCTAACATAATACGATTACCCTATCAACCCCACACAAACAGGCGATACACTATCAACATATTATCCCGCCGCCCCGGAGTGACATGGCCGGCCCACAAACTAGCCATAACGGATCAGCCTTCACGAACGCCAGCCGGACTGTCGCGTCCACCTGACCCGAGCGCACGTTAGCTCAGCCTGTTCATAGCAGGACGCAAACACGTCGTTCACTCGCGACCAAGACGCATTCCGCCGCCGCAGTCCGACAAGCGGAGCATGGATGCACGTCACACCGACCCCGATCCCCGTGTACCCCGGACGGCGAGAAAGGCCTCGGCGGGGGGGGGGGGGGGCACTGCTGCCGCGGAGGGGAGGCACTGCTGCGGCGGCGATCTTGGCACGGCCCCCTCTGGCACCTGTCTGTATTGTTCCGAGCCCCGAGGTCAAACAGTCTCGTGCCGGGAGCGGGGCAAACACCGGCCGCGGCCGGGGCCGCCGCCCGCCGACGGACGGTCGGCGGCAGGAGCGCAGTCCCCCGGGGCCCGGCGTCCTTCAACGGCGTTCGCGGCCACTCACGCAGCGCGATCAGACGTTGAAGCCTGGGTGTGTCGGAGGGCTACACTCGGGAGCGGGTGGGACGCGCGGCATCATCGACTCAGCTTCCACTCCGGTCAAGCGAGCCCGCTGCGGATTTCGCGTGTGCTCACCGGAGGGTGACTCGACCGCCCGGCGCCGTCGGGGCTGTCTTTGAGTCGGGATCAGGGCTGCCTTACCCGCTTCGCCTCCGTCCACAAATCACCCAGCCCGGTGCTTGTATTCGGTGATGGCATCGACGTCCGCGTCCGGGCTGACAGGTGACGGCGCCATTGGAATGAAGTCAGAGCACGCTCCCACCCAGCGATGGGAACCATGCCAGGGCCAGACTTACCACACGGGGCAGGCCAGATCTGTCGGAGTCAGCGAGTAGAACCGGACCGGGGTCAGACAGCATCAGGACCCGAGTCATGGCCAGGGACCGCGTCGGGGCGGACCCGAGAGGACCTCCGCCGGACTCACCAGGTCACTCAGCTCCGTGCCGGGGTCCGGTCCCGGCGGCGCCGCCGGCCCGTCCTCGCCCTCGACCGGCGGCGGCCGCAGCGACAGCAGCATGCGCTTCAAGTGTCCCGGCTTCGTCACCTCCAGCACTGTCACCAGCTCCATCTCCCACACCTTGCGCACACGCTGCATGTCCGTGTAGAGGCTGCGACTGAACACGTCGGCGTACTGGTCGAGCCGAAGTGCGCGCAGCCAGCCGGCGACCGTCTCGACGACGGTCGCCTCGCGGCGCGCGCGGCCCAACCCGTCCGGCAGCTGGGCGGCGGCGGTCAGCAGCGCCTGCCGCTCCTCTGGCTGAGCGACGCCCGCCTCCAGCAGGTCGGCCTCCTCCAGCACGCCGCGCACGAAGTCGACGTCGTCGAAGCCGAGCCGCCGTAGCGCCGGCTCGTGGCGCGCCAGGCCCAGCGTGCGCAGCAGCGAGGAGACGCCGCCCGACGAGCATCGGCCCGGCTCGGCCGTCGCCTGGTAGCCTGCCGACGAGACGGCAGCGTCACGGGCCGGCCCGCCGGGGACGGGGAGCAGCGGCAGCGTCACGGGCCGGCCCGCCGGGGGCGGGGAGCAGCGGCAGCGGCACAGGCCGGTCCGCCGGGGACGGGGAGCAGCGGCAGCGGCACAGGCCGGTCCGCCAGGGACGGGGAGCAGCGGCAGCGGCACAGGCCGGTCCGCCGGGGACGGGGAGCAGCGGCAGCGGCACAGGCCGGCCCACAGGGGACGGGGAGCAGCGGCAGCGGCACAGGCCGGTCCGCCGGGGACGGGGAGCAGCGGCAGCGGCACAGCCCGGCCCACAGGGGACGGGGAGCTGCGGGAGAGTACGGGGCGGCCCGCTGGCTACGGGGAGTAGCGGGAGCGCACGCAGCGCGCACCGACAAACGCTGACGCACACAGCGGCGGAAACAGCAGCTGTAGCCCGCTGTCACCAGTGCGTTTGTGTGGTCCTAACTCCGAGCCAATCCCAGTGATAAAGGAAAATGGCATCGCACATCGACGCCACTTGTAAATAGGACTGCTGCAGCCCACAGACGTCCGCGCATTGCCGAAATTACCGAGCAAAATACCCAAGCCAAAGACGGTAGTGTCAACCTTTCCCCACGTGCGCCGCCCCCGGGTCCCCGAGCCCTGTCCACCACCCCCACGGCGGCGAACAACGGTGACCCGACGCCCTTCGGCCGTCGGACGTCGCTCAGCGGCGACAGGATGGCTGTCACGTGAGCCGCCGCCGCGGAGACCTCCGGGCGCGGTGAGTCACGGGCCGCGCTGGCCGGCCGCCCCGCCCGCTCGGCCCACGGAGGGAGAGCAGCCGGCCGGCGCGGCTCGCCGGTCGGCCGTGACCCGGCCAGGACAGCGGGGCTCATCGCCGGACCACGGAGCGCTCCCTCCCCGACCCCGGCCGCCCCGCCCGCTCGGCCCAGGGAGGGAGAGCGGCCGGCCGGCGCGGCTCGCCGGTCGGCCGTGACCCGGCCAGGACAGCGGGGCTCATCGCCGACCACGGCGCGCTCCCTCCCCGACCCCGGCCGCCCGCCGCGGCGTTCCCTTCGCTCCGCCACCTACGGCCTGGTCGCTCCGTCGGCTCCCTCAGCGGACGCAGGCCTTTTTAAGAGCGTACGAGACACATCTCGTCGCGCACCCTTTCACAGAACAACAGGGAGTGCGGTGGTCACGCTAGCGCTCAGGGATCCTGGCCAAACGGGAGCGCAGAGTCTGACCGGCGCAGGTGGGGCGCGCGGGACCACTCCCCGCCCCTCCCCCCCCCCCCCCCCCCGATAACACGACGAAGCGGAGCGTGTCGGCACGGCAGAGGGTGCGTGACGTCACCGCTCGGCCGCGCGCACGCGGCATGCGTGCACAGCCAGGTGCGGCGGACAACGGCACACGGGGCGCCGCACGCCACGGCGGCGGCGGAACTGACACACCGCGCTGAGACGGGACGAGGGGCGCGCGGGACACGCAGGCACGGGAATGCGAGACGGGCCTCAGGGACGATGTCCCGGGCACGCGAACCGTCACCCGGTAAACAGGACACAGAGCCGAGCGGTCCCGCACACGCATCGCCAGGCGGAGGTCCGACGGCAAGACATGTAAACAAAGCGCTAGACAGACTGCCGCGGGGTGACAGGAGTCGCTTAGGTTGGCGGCACGGCCGCGCCGCCAGGCCTACCCGAACACCCAACACGTGAACACCCTCGAACAGCGAAACACGCATTCCTGTCGGCGTACTGAAGCGGAAAATTCCCACCCATTGTTGCTTGCTTCCATCACGGAATAATGTAAGTCTCCCACGGTGCGGCCGTAACAACGTCAGGCTCCACAATTACACAGGTGGGAAAGAGGAAGCCGACCATTCTGGACTGTGCTCGGAATGGGTAAACACGGACTACGGGCACATCTGTCACGCTAATGGCAGAATGTCTGCCACCCAGGCGCACATTGTCGCCTTCGTTGCGGTTTCATACGGCTGTGACATACACATAAACGTCAGCTACCATCGCACCTCGCGAAACCCCTCAAACACCGAGTTCCGCGGCTCCTGGACTGTCCACGGTAGTGACTCAATGCAAACTCACCCTACTGCATGTGCTTACACTCGTCCACGCCCAAACCCCAGGCGCTATCTTCCACGCAGCTGACCACCTACGACAGGCCTTCTGAAGGCCTCCCGATCCCCGACCCTACACCACAGTCACCTGGACCCTACACCAAAGTCACCTGCGGGTCCCTTCGAGTCGTGGCCGGGACAAACAGGCCTTAGGAAGGTCCCCTTACAGCACAGCCCGCACCACTGATGACCGAGAGCCAACGGCGGCTTACCTCGCCGACTCTGCAGCTCCTGGTCGATCTCGGTCATGATGTCGTCGCCGTACGAGGCCACGATGTCGTACACCTTGTTCCACTCCTCCTGCTCGTTGAACGGGCTGAGGATGACCAGACTGGAGACGCGCTGGTCGCCCCCGGCACCGCCGCTGCCGCCGGTGGTCGGCCGGCCGCGGCGCAGCACGCCCTCCTCCTCGCCATCGCCGAGCGTCGACGAAGCCATGCGCACGTTCTCGTAGCAGGCGGGCAGCGTGGTGGGCCGGTCGGGCCGGCGCGGGGCCGGTAACGGCGCCGCGTCAGACAGCAGGCCGATCACAGAGCCCCGGTACAGACCTGGCGGCGCGAAGACGGCCATCTCATCACAGGCGGACACAGGCGCACGATTACAGAACACAGAGATCGCGCGTGCACACCTACGCGCCCGCGGACGACACATGTCACGGCGGATGGACACGTGCGATAACAAATCACCGGCACGCGGGCCTGAGTCACGCGGATGAAGCCACGCGGACAACCGCGGAGACCGGGAGGAGGAGCCTGACACAGCCTCGGGGAAAACACGGCTGCCGGGCACACGTTAGACGCGTGACAGCAGGACGCATCAACACCCGCCGGAGCCCACCCGTTCCAGCTGTCCATCTAGCGCAGTGTCGCACCAGGCGGCAGCACCGCGCTGCACAGCCGGCCGGCGTCCACGACCACAGCACCGGGCGACGACTCGAGACCCGCCCCACGCAGACGCCACACGCACGAGCGGCGTGTGGCGCTCGACATCGCGGCGTGACGACGGCGCCACGTCAAAGAGCTCCGCCGCCCACGCGGCGCGGCTCTGGCAGCGGAGGTCGCCCCGCCGGTCACGGAGCGAGCCAGCGGACCGTCAGCGCCCTGTCACCACCTGACGCGCCGCTCGGCAACAGGCCACCGGCGACGGCGCGGCGCGCTGGCCGGCGCCCTCTGCGGGCCGACGCGCGCCCCCGGCGGCGGCGCGGCGGCACCCGCCAACGCGACAACGTCCGGCAACGACGTCACCCATCAAGTCGCGGCGACGCCGGCGGGTGAACGACCCGACGCTGGGTGACGGTCGGCCCCCTCCCCTCCCTCCCGGCTCCCTCCTTCTCTGGTGGGGGCTGCGGTCGGCGACGGGCAGGCTGGCCGCCTGGCCGACCGGCGCGGGCCGCGGGGGCAGACGTGGCCGGCCGAAGCCGTCGACTCGGCGCTCGCAGCGTATACATCCGCAGCAAAACCGTTAACGCCGTTAGATTCGTTTGGACGTTCCGACGCCGCCCACCGGGGTAGTTCTTACAAACCACCCGTCTTCATAAACAGTCCCAAAAGCCACCGGGCGTGTGTTATTCGATCAGGAATCACTTGTTAAAACGAGCAAAAAACGAACCGGCCTGTCCTAGTCACGGAACCAGATACACATGCGACGCTCCTGATTTATGAATCCGCTGGCCAATTTTCCTGATTTGCCTGGCACCTCCTAAACCCCACTGACTCACGTGCTTACTTTTCCAAGCGCTTATGTGGGCACATTGCCACAGTCAAGCATAAACATAATAACACGGCCGCCGACACGACCCCATCGTCTGGATTGTTTGTCCGCGTGATCGGTGCAGCCCCGACGCGTGCCGACCAGCTCTGTTTGTCGGCGCACGGTCCGGCGACCATCAGTCACCGCCCGTCATCGCCGCCCGCTCCGCTTGTACCGCCCGGCAGGCAGGCTCTTTGTCCGTTCGTTCCAGTCAACTCTGCATCCTCTGCGCGACCCAGATCACACGGCGGCCCTCAGCACCGCATTGTCCGCACAATGCCTGCGCGTCAAACAGCTCTCGTGCGGCCATCCCATTCTGCTCTGCTGGCGACGGCCCGGACCCGACTGACGCGTCACGGCGTGCAGGCGGCGTCCTCGCCGCGATCGGCGCCATCACGCGTCTGCACGTGCGCGTCCCTGGCCGCCGGTGCACCGAGCACCATTACGGAGCTCCGGCCGGGTCGGCCGCGCCGCCGCCGCACGTGACCTGACTGAGGCAGCCGGCGGCGTCGGCCGTCAATGGCCGGGCCTGGCCGCCGCTGCAGCAGCGCCGACCATTCACCGGAGCTGCGGCGCCGCCGCCGGGGCGCCGGGGTGTGGCGGCCGGCCGGCCGAAGCGGGCCGAGCGGCTCACCGGACCAGGCTCGCTCCCGCCGCGCGGCGCCGCCCGCAGCGCGTGGCGCCACGGGCGGCGCGGCCATAAACCAGACCTCTGCGCCCGCCGCGCCGCACGCACCGGCAGACGTTCGTCTGGCCGCCCAATGACCGCCTATTGCCATGTCGGACGGTCGAAAACACCCTCGCGTCCAGCAGCGCCCGCGGAGCGTCTCCAGACAGGTGTTTGCATTTGACCATGGCGTAGATCAGCCTCGACAGTGCAACAATGGCCCGAGCCGAGCGGAGCGCCCCACACGTCAGGCCAAACCCGCCGCGACTGTCACAGCAGGCGCCTGTCCGGAGACGGGCCGCGGCCGCCGCGCCGCGCAGGAGATACGACCAAATCGGGCGGCGGGTGCGTGCGCCAGGCGCCGCCGGCCGCTGCAGCGGCGGCGGTGCGCGGTCGGCGGCCGAGCCCGGCTTTCTCCGGCATACAGAGACACCTGCGGCGACTGCGCCTGTCTCGGCTGCCCGAGTCGCGTCACGGGCCGCCGCCGACCCGCGTCGTTTGTCTTCATCGGATCGGTGGCGTCGGGGTGGCGTGCCCGGCGGAGGCGCGACCGGCGCAGCGGGGCGCGGCCGCCGTCGAGGGCGGCCGGTCGGACGGCCAGACCATGGCCTGGCATCGGTCGAATGCACTGCGCCCTGGCGCACGGCACAGTGCGACACACCAGCCGGTGGCGGCGCCACCTCGGCGCCCGGCCCCGGCCACTGGGAGCCGGCGCGAGCCCGCCGCCCCGGTCGGGACCGTGTGCATACACGTCTGCACATACTTACACGCCGCCGCCGGTCGACAGCAAGGCCCGATGTCGGCCGGGCCTGTCGTGTCAGCGCCGCTAATCGCCATTCATTGGTAATCCGGCCGCGTGATTCGCCGGCGGCGAGCGACGGAGGCCAGGCCGCACGGCGCCCAGCGGCGGCGCCCTGGACGCGATTCTGTCTCCGCGTCTCACGTCCCTGCGTCTCACGTCTCCGCGTCCCACGTCTCCCCGTCTCCACGTCTCATGTCTCCCCGTCTCATGTCTCCCCGTCTCATCTTCCCTACTCCACGTCTCCGCGTCTTCCATCTCCACATATCGCGTCTCCCCGTCTCACCTCCCTGCGTCTCACGTCTCCCCGTCTCACGCCTCCCCGTCTCACGTCTCACGTCCACGTCTCACTTCGTGTCGAGCGCGGTCCCGACGAGAGGCCCGGCCCGCTCCGGACGGCGCCCAGCCTGCCGCAGTCCCACGCGTCACCGCTGACGACGACTGAGCTTCTCCAGACGCCAGATCACAGTGGCACCACACCGAAAGCTGACAGAGATCCATCCGCCAGAGCGCACGTGACCGTCACATAAGACGCGGCCCGACGTGGTGTGCCAATACTGTCGGCACCCAAACAGCCCAGTATTTGTTCTCCAGTCGCGCGATTGTCCGGAGTTGCGTCACACGCCAGGTGACAGGCTTCACATGCTGCTCTGGTGTGCTGTTGGGGTAGATCAACAAACCGACAGCACGGAAGTACAGCGGCCCAGAGCGCACGGCATACCACCATACGAAAATACCCCGTTTCTTATCGGAGCGAGAGGCATGAGTCTGCTACTGGAAAATTGATCGCTACCTACGGCTTTCCAGTCGTCCGTGATACTTGCGTTAGATTTCAACCCGCGCATCTCTAGCCCCACGTGCAGGTGATCTAGGCCGGCTGACATGCGAGAGGCCTCCCAACGCCTACCTCGCCGGTCACACCCTGCGGGTTGGGCCGTGCTTGCATGCCGGCAAAGCTGCCAGCCCATAAAGACCAAGGGCCCCCGCCAGAGCGGAGCAGCGCCCCACAAACGGGCGGCTGGCCGCGCAGCTCACGCCAAGCTCGGTGTGGGTGTGCCTCCGGCCAGCCTGCTAGCCCGTCCGGTCCCGTTAGGCAAACAGCGCCGCGGCCGGCACATATTGGCACTTCATGTTACTCGGGCCATAGCGGCCAAAACAAACCGCCCGACCCCGGAGGAGGCGAATGCCATCTACTGCAGCTGCCAGGCGATACAGGGTGACGTGGAAAAGCCTGCATATTTCGTTTTTCTTTTGTAAACAACGCATGGTCCGGGAAGCGAGATGCGGAAACAGCCGTCGTCGTTTCAACAACAGTCGGAAGTGAACTCATCACACAGCGGGCGTTGTTGCCAATGTTCGTGTGGATAAGGCTCTCACGACATTCCACCGCACTTCTAGTCGTGCGTCCGCGCGCTACCGCTCCATTACGGCAAGTCGGTACGAATCGTGCGTATTTTCCCAAGGACATTTCATCCTGCTGTTTATCTTGAGGCAGACGGGCGGGAGCTTAAGCTCACTGTTGTTACCACGGCGGCTTTCGGGAGAAGACTGGCCCGGCGCACAGAGCCGGGCGCGGTCGGCAGCGGAATTGTTTGGCAGCGTGCGGTTGCATGACATTAAATATGATCTGTTGGCGTGCGTTGGCACGGCTGTACACACGATGCCGACGCTGCAGGCGGCGGCCCTCTCGGCCCGGCCGGCTGACTCAGCGCCAGCGGATGGCACCGCACACTCACTTCCACCCCAACGCGCATCGCCCTTGCACGAGAAAGCCGACACAACTGAAGTCTGCACGCTGTTTTTCGACCGCAGCGCGACAGCGCCGTGCTGCAACAGCAGCCGTCGTTCGCACCGCCGGCAGTGCAAAAGGCATGGCAAAAACGCTCCGACTGCCGAGCCGCTGGACCCAGGTGGCGGCCCTCGTACACAGCTGAGCCAGCCAAGTGGCCAAAACGAGGCCGGCGGCGCAGTGACCAGCGCCGCGGTCCCGCGACCTCTGGACGGGGTCCGAGGGCGGGTCACGTGACACGCCGCCCCGAGCCGGGGCCCCGCTGCGCCGGCCCAAGCCCGGCCGTCGGCGGATCCCGTGCGGCCGAGGGCGGCGGCGGCGGCGCGGTCCACCCATGCCGTGTCATCGGGCCGGACGGCCGGCGGCTGCGAGCGTGATGCCGGCTGACGGCCGGGCCGCACCCGTTCATAGACGACGCCCTGCACGGCGTCCCCGCCGCCCGGCCCGGCCGATACGTCATGAAGGTCGCCCATATCGGGAGCTCACGCCACCCACGTCACACACATCGCGACGGCACGCCGCCAAGGTCATCGACATCCACCGG